GCCCACTCCCCTACACACTCGACCCTCACCATGAACACTCATGAAAAACGCATGAACAAACCATGAACAACCATGAAAGAAACATAAACAGTCATGAGCAAATATGAGCGCACATGAACAAACATGAGCGCTCGCACGAACAGCACGCAAACATTCATGAACACGCGAAGGACCATGAATCTTCGGAACACCCTGAGCTTCACGCACATTCATGATGCAACACGAACAACCGAAACACACGCGAACAATCATGAACGCTCATGAATGCAACATCACAGAAACACACATAACTTATGAACCGCTAAGGCAATTCACAAACCGTAAACACACAAATGAAAAGCACACAAATGCGCATCACTCAAAACACAAATTACCTTAAAACAGATACCTTCAAATTTCACCTCGCTCGACGAATAGGCGACAGGTTGACATGCAAATTTCATTTTGCACCCAACACAGGTACCATGTGCGACTGAAATGCATTTATCTGCCAAATTACATAGATTAGATAGGTTAAAAAATGGTAGGGGGGTGGGGAATGGTTTAATTTAAAGGAAATGGGAATATATATGGTATTTACTGTACGTGTACAGAGAGAATAATGTGTCGGCTGGTAAGGTCAGTATGCACGCTTGCGTGTAGGTACAAGGCGGAGCTGAAACTCTGAAAGCTGCCAAATTATGTGGATCGGAAAGGTTTTAACCAAGTGTTGTTGAAGTAGAAGGCCTAATCTAGTGGACTGGCAAGAATATGGCACTAACTGCATCTCTACAAACATACGTAATGCGCTGGTCAGTTTGGTCGGTATGCGCGCCTGTAGTGCAGGTACCATGTACGACTGGAATGTATATATCTGCCAAATTACATAGATCCGATTGGTTAAAACATGGTAGGGGGTTGGGGAATGGTATCAGTTAAAGGAAATGGGAATACATACGGAGAGAAAATGCGTCGGCCGGTAAGGCCTGTATGCACGCTTGTGTGTAGGTACAAGGCGGAGCTGAAACTCTGAAATCTCCCAAACTATGTGGATCGGAAAGGTTATAACCTAGTGTTGTTGAAGTAGACGGCCTAATCTAATGGACTGGCAAGAATATGGCACTAACTACATCTCTATAAACATACGTAATGCGCTGGTCAATTTGGTCGGTATGGGCGCCTGTAGTGCAGGTACCATGTGCGACTGAAATGCATTTATCTGCCAAATTACATAGATTAGATAGGTTAAAAAATGGTAGGGGGGTGGGGAATGGTTAAATTTAATGGAAATTAGAGCATATATGGTATTCACTGTACGTGTACAGAGAGAATAATGTGTCGGCTGGTAAGGTCAGTATGCACGCTTGCGTGTAGGTACAAGGCGGAGCTGAAACTCTGAAATCTGCCAAATGATGTGGATCGGAAAGGTTTTAACCAAGTGTTGTTGAAGTAGAAGGCCTAATCTAGTGGATTGGCAAGAATATGGCACTAACTGCATCTCTACAAACATACGTAATGCGCTGGTCAGTTTGGTCGGTATGCGCGCCTGTAGTGCAGGTACCATGTACGACTGGAATGTATATATCTGCCAAATTACATAGATCCGATTGGTTAAAACATGGTAGGGGGGTGGGGAATGGTATCAGTTAAAGGAAATGGGAATACATACAGAGAGAAAATGCGTCGGCCGGTAAGGCCTGTATGCACGCTTGTGTGTAGGTACAAGGCGGAGCTGGAACTCTGAAATCTCCCAAACTATGTGGATCGGAAAGGTTATAACCTAGTGTTGTTGAAGTAGACGGCCTAATCTAATGGACTGGCAAGAATATGGCACTAACTACATCTCTATAAACATACGTAATGCGCTAATCAGTTTGGTCGGTATGGGCGCCTGTAGTGCAGGTACCATGTGCGACTGAAATGCATTTATCTGCCAAATTACATAGATTAGATAGGTTAAAAAATGGTAGGGGGGTGGGGAATGGTTTAGTTTAAAGGAAATGGGAATATATATGGTATTCACTGTACGTGTACAGAGAGAATAATGTGTCGGCTGGTAAGGTCAGTATGCACGCTTGCGTGTAGGTACAAGGCGGAGCTGAAACTCTGAAATCTGCCAAATGATGTGGATCGGAAAGGTTTTAACCAAGTGTTGTTGAAGTAGAAGGCCTAATCTAGTGGACTGGCAAGAATATGGCACTAATTGCATCTCTACAAACATACGTAATGCGCTGGTCAGTTTGGTCGGTATGCGCGCCTGTAGTGCAGGTACCATGTACGACTGGAATGTATATATCTGCCAAATTACATAGATCCGATTGGTTAAAACATGGTAGGGGGGTGGGGAATGGTATCAGTTAAAGGAAATGGGAATACATACGGAGAGAAAATGCGTCCGCCGGTAAGGCTTGTATGCACGCTTGTGTGTAGGTACAAGGCGGAGCTGGAACTCTGAAATCTCCCAAACTATGTGGATCGGAAAGGTTATAACCTAGTGTTGTTGAAGTAGACGGCTAATCTAATGGACTGGCAAGAATATGGCACTAACTACATCTCTATAAACATACGTAATGCGCTGATTAGTTTGGTCGGTATGGGCGCCTGTAGTGCAGGTACCATGTGCGACTGAAATGCATTTATCTGCCAAATTACATAGATTAGATAGGTTAAAAAATGGTAGGGGGGTGGGGAATGGTTTAGTTTAAAGGAAATGGGAATATATATGGTATTCACTGTACGTGTACAGAGAGAATAATGTGTCGGCTGGTAAGGTCAGTATGCACGCTTGCGTGTAGGTACAAGGCGGAGCTGAAACTCTGAAATCTGCCAAATTATGTGGATCGGAAAGGTTTTAACCAAGTGCTGTTGAAGTAGAAGGCCTAATCTAGTGCACTGGCAAGAACATGGCACTAACTGCATCTCTACAAACATACGTAATGCGCTGGTCAGTTTGGTCGGTATGCGCGCCTGTAGTGCAGGTACCATGTACGACTGGAATGTATACCTGCCAATTACATAGATCCGATTGGTTAAAACATGGTAGGGGGGTGGGGAATGGTATCAGTTAAAGGAAATGGGAATACATACGGAGAGAAAATGCATCGGCCGGTAAGGACTGTATGCACGCTTGTGTGTAGGTACAAGGCGGAGCTGGAAATCCGAAATCTCCCAAACTATGTGGATCGGAAAGGTTATAACATAGTGTTGTTGAAGTAGACGGCCTAATCTAATGGACTGGCAAGAATATGGCACTAACTACATCTCTATAAACATACGTAATGCGCTGGTCAGTTTGGTCGGTATGGGCGCCTGTAGTGCAAGTACCATGTGCGACTGGCAGATAAATGCATTTCAGTCGCGCATGGTACCTGCACTACAGGCGCCCATACCGACCAAACTGACCAGCGCATTACGTATGTTTATAGAGATGTAGTTAGTGCCATATTCTTGCCAGTCCATTAGATTAGGCCGTCTACTTCAACAACACTAGGTTATAACCTTTCCGATCCACATAGTTTGGGAGATTTCAGAGTTCCAGCTCCGCCTTGTACCTACACACAAGCGTGCATACAAGCCTTACCGGCGGACGCATTTTCTCTCCGTATGTATTCCCATTTCCTTTAACTGATACCATTCCCCACCCCCCTACCATGTTTTAACCAATCGGATCTATGTAATTTGGCAGATATATACATTCCAGTCGTACATGGTACCTGCACTACAGGCGCGCATACCAACCAAACTGACCAGCGCATTACGTATGTTTATAGAGATGTAGTTAGTGCCATATTCTTGCCAGTCCATTAGATTAGGCCGTCTACTTCAACAACACTAGGTTATAACCTTTCCGATCCACATAATTTGGGAGATTTCAGAGTTCCAGCTCCGCCTTGTACCTACACACAAGCGTGCATACAAGCCTTTAACGGCGGACGCATTTTCTCTCCGTATGTATTCCCATTTCCCTTTAACCTATCTAATCTATGTAATTTGGCAGATAAATGCATTTCAGTCGCACATGGTACCTGCACTACAGGCGCCCATACCGACCAAACTGATCAGCGCATTACGTATGTTTATAGAGATATAGTTAGTGCCATATTCTTGCCAGTCCATTAGATTAGGCCGTCTACTTCAACAACACTTGGTTATAACCTTTCCGATCCACATAGTTTGGGAGATTTCAGAGTTCCAGCTCCGCCTTGTACCTACACACAAGCGTGCATACAAGCCTTTAACGGCGGACGCATTTTCTCTCCGTATGTATTCCCATTTCCTTTAATTGATACCATTCCCCACCCCCCTTCCATGTTTTAACCAATCGGATCTATGTAATTGGCAGATATATACATTCCAGTCGTACATGGTACCTGCACTACAGGCGCGCATACCGACCAAACTGACCAGCGCATTACGTATGTTTGTAGAGATGCAGTTAGTGCCATATTCTTGCCAGTCCACTAGATTAGGCCTTCTACTTCAACAACACTTGGTTAAAACCTTTCCAATCCACATAATTTTGCAGATTTCAGAGTTTCAGCTCCGCCTTGTACCTACACGCAAGCGTGCATACTGACCTTACCAGCCGACACATTATTCTCTCTGTACACGTACAGTGAATACCATATATATTCCCATTTCCTTTAAATTAAACCATTCCCCACCCCCTATCTAATCTATGTAATTTGGCAGATAAATGCATTTCAGGCGCACATGGTACCTGCACTACAGGCGCCCATACCGACCAAACTGACCAGCGCCCAGGCAAGCTCCTGGACCAGGCAAGCTCTTAGACCAGGCAGGAATATGGTTTCTAACTGCATCTCTACAAACATACGTAATGCGCTGGTCAGTTTTGGTCGGTATGCGTGCCTGTTGTGGAGGTACCATGTACGACGAGAATGCATATTTTTGGCGAATTACAGATATCCAAAAGGTTAGAACCTATTAGAGGGGTGGGGAATGGTATACTGTAAAGGAAATGCAAAACATATCTGGTAATCTCACACATTCCCCCTACCATGCCTTCCCCCTCTCATGCCTTCCCCCTCTCATGCCTTCCCCCTCTCATGCCTTCCCCCTCTCATGCCTTCCCCTTCTCATGCCTTCCCCCTCTCATGCCTTCCCCCTCTCATGCCTTCCCCCTCTCATGCCTTCCCCCTCTCATGCCTTCCCCCTCTCATGCCTTCCCCCTCTCATGCCTTCCCCCTCTCATGCCTTCCCCCTCTCATGCCTTCCCCCTCTCATGCCTTCCCCCTCTCATGCCTTCCCCCTCTCATGCCTTCCCCCTCTCATGCCTTCCCCCTCTCATGCCTTCCCCCTCTCATGCCTTCCCTCTCTCATGCCTTCCCCCTCTCATGCCTTCCCCCTCTCATGCCTTCCCCCTCTCATGCTTTCCTCCTCTCATGCCTTCCCCCTCTCATGCCTTCCCCCTCTCATGCCTTTCCCCCTCTCATGCCTTCCCCCTCTCATGCCTTCCCCCTCTCATGCCTTCCCCCTCTCATGCCTTCCCCCTCTCATGCCTTCCCCCTCTCATGCCTTCCCCCTCTCATGCCTTCCCCCTCTCATGCCTTCCCCCTCTCATGCCTTCCCCCTCTCATGCCTTCCCCCTCTCATGCCTTCCCCCTCTCATGCCTTCCCCCTCTCATGACTTCCCCCTCTCATGCCTTCCCCCTCTCATGCCTTCCCCCTCTCATGCCTTCCCCCTCTCATGCCTTCCCCCTCTCATGCCTTCCCCCTCTCATGCCTTCCCTTTCTCATGCCTTCCCCCTCTCATGCCTTCCCCCTCTCATGCCTTCCCCCTCTCATGCCTTCCCCCTCTCATGCCTTCCCCCTCTGATGCCTTCCCCCTCTCATGCCTTCCCCCTCTCATGCCTTCTTCCTCTCATGCCTTCCCCCTCTCATGCCTTCCCCCTCTCATCCCTTCCCCCTCTCATGCCTTCCCCCTCTCATGCCTTCCCCCTCTCATGCCTTCCCCCTCTCATGCCTTCCCCCTCTCATGCCTTCCCCCTCTCATGCTCCCGCTTTCCATCACCCCGCCCCATTCTCCCTCCTTCCATCACCCCGCCCCATTCTCCCTCCTTCCATCACCCCGCCCCATTCTCTTTCTTTCCATCACCCCGCCCCATTCTCCCGCTTTCCATCACCCCGCCCCATTCTCCCTGATTCCATCACCCCGCCCCATTCTCCCTCCTTCCATCACCCCGCCCCATTCTCCCGCATTCCATCACCCCGCCCCATTCTCCCGCTTTCTATCACCCCGCCCTTTTCTCCCGCTTTCCATCACCCTGCCCCATTGTCCCGCTTTTCATCACCCCGCACCATTCTCCCGCTTTCCATCACCCCGCACCATTCTCCCGCTTTCCATCACCCCGCCCCATTCTCCCACTTTCCATCACCCCGCCCCATTCTCCCTCCTTCCATCACCCCGCCCCATTCTCCCTCCTTCCATCACCCCGCCCCATTCTCCCGCTTTCCATCACCCCGCCCCATTCTCCCGCTTTCCATCACCCCGCCCCATTCTCTTGCTTTCCATCACCCCGCCCCATTCTCCCGCTTTCCATCACCCCGCCCCATTCTCCCGCTTTCCATCACCCCGCCCCATTCTCCCGCTTTCCTTCACCCCGCCCCGTTCTCCCGCTTTCCATCACCCCGCCCCATTCTCCCTCCTTCCATCACTCCGCCCCATTCTCCCTCCTTCCATCACCCTGCCCCATTCTCCCTCCTTCCATCACCCCACCCCATTCTCCCGCTTTCCATCACCCCGCCCCATTCTCCCGCTTTCCTTTACCCCGCCCCATTCTCCCGCTTTCCATCACCCCGCCCCATTCTCCCGCTTTCCATCACCCCGCCCCATTCTCCCACTTTCCATCACCCCGCCCCATTCTCCTGCTTTTCATCACCCCGCCCCATTCTCCCTCCTTCCATCACCCCGCCCCATTCTCCCGTTTTCCATCACCCCGCCCCATTCTCCCTCCTTCCATCACCCCACCCCATTCTCCCTCCTTCCATCACCCCGCCCCATTCTCTTTCTTTCCATCACCCCGCCCCATTCTCCCGCTTTCCATCACCCCGCCCCATTCTCCCTGATTCCATCACCCCGCCCCATTCTCCCTCCTTCCATCACCCCGCCCCATTCTCCCGCTTTCCATCACCCCGCCCCATTCTCCCGCTTTCCATCACCCCGCCCCATTCTTCCGTTTTCCATCACCCCGCCCCATTCTCCCGCTTTCCATCACCCCGCCCCATTCTCCCGCTTTCCATCACCCCGCCCTTTTCTCCCGCTTTCCATCACCCTGCCCCATTCTCCCGCTTTCCATCACCCCGCCCCATTCTCCCGCTTTCCATCACCCGCCCCATTCTCCCGCTTTCCATCTGTTATAGTCACAGTGGGCTCCAATGTGCCTAAAACGAAAGATAGAGTGCACAGTCGGATTTCTGCACAACGGCTTTAAACGTTCATAGCGATCTGCTCACAATCCAAATGACTTCATTCAACTTGGATCTGGAGCGCCTTAACGTTGCCTACAATAGGCAATTTAGATCGCACGATTTCATCAAGAATTGACGACACAGCGTTGGTTTGAACGAACGGCACTATGGCAGCCACTATGGTCTTAGAACACAAGATAGGAAGAGTTTGCAAGAGTTACGAGTTTGGAATGACTCCCAGCTCCTACAAACCCCAAGAGCCGAGGTACAGTGATGTGGAACAGTGCCACACTGTCCCCAACCACGAAGGGTCTCGAAACTACCCTTCACAAGGGCCTACACCAACTGAAATGTTACACTACACAAAGTAATGTAACTATCTTCAATATCTTGAGGTGTACCCCTTTTTTTTGGCGAGCTTTGAAATCACTTGAAGCTTGCAACCAAGGGTCGGGTTCTTCATCACAAACTCATCCTTGAGTTCTTGATGGGTCTGCTGCACACACCTGCGACACGCCGAACGTTCGACAAGCGACAAAATAGAAGCCGCGCACGACAAAATAGAGACCGCGCGGGACACACAAAATGACCGCGTTTCACGCGTCTAGCGATAATTCGCTATAGACTTGACACACACACTCGACATCATGACTCAGCATTCACACACTATTATAAGCATGAAATATATATTATCCCATGCCTTCATACCATTCCATGCACACACGCATGCACGCAGACGGACAACAAGCCGAGTGCAAACCGTAGGGTTGCACCAACACCATCACCCCGCCCCATTCTCCCGCCTTCCATCACCCCGCCCCATTCTCCCTCCTTCCATCACCCCGCCCCATTCTCCCGCCTTCCATCACCCCACCCAATTCTCCCGCTTTCCATCACCCCGCCCCATTCTCCCGCTTTCCATCACCCCGCCCCATTCTCTCGCTTTCCATCACCCCGCCCCATTCTCCCACTTTCCATCACCCCGCCCCATTCTCCCTCCTTCCATCACCCGCCCCATTCTCCTGCTTTCCATCACCCCCTCCTTCCATCACCCCGCCCCATTCTCCCTCCTTCCATCACCCCGCCCCATTCTCTCGCTTTCCATCACCCCGCCCCATTCTCCCTCCTTCCATCACCGCGCCCCATTCTCCCTCCTTCCATCACCCCGCCCCATTCTTCCTCCTTCCATCACCCCGCCCCATTCTCCCGCCTTCCATCATCCCCCATCACCCCGCCCCATTCTCCCTCCTTCCATCACCCCGCCCCATTCTCCCTCCTTCCATCACCCCGCCCTATTCTTCCGCTTTCCATCACCCCGCCCCATTCTCCCGCTTTCCATAACCCCGCCCCATTCTCCCGCTTTCCATCACCCCGCCCCATTCTCCCGCTTTCCATCACCCCGCCCCATTCTCCCGCTTTCCATCACCCCGCCCCATTCTCCCGCATTCCATCACCACGCCCCATTCTCCCGCTTTCCATCACCCCGCCCCATTCTCCCGCTTTCCATCACCCCGCCCCATTCTCCCGCTTTCCATCACACCGCCCAATTCTCCCGCTAACCATCACCCCACCCCGTTCTCCCTCCTTCCATCATCCCGCCCCATCCTCCCTCCTTCCATCACCCCGCCCCATTCTCCCGCTTTCCATCACCCCGCCACATTCTCCCGCTTTCCATCACCCCGCCCCATTCACCCGCTTTCCATCACCCCGCCCCATTCTCCCGCTTTCCATCACCTCGCCTCATTCTCCCGCTTTCCATCACCCCGCCCCCTCCCGCTTTCCATCACCCCGCCCCATTCTCCCGCTTTCCATCACCCCGCCCCATTCTCCCGCTTTCCATCACCCCGCCCAATTCTCCCCCTTTCCATCACCTCGCCCCAGTCTCCCGCTTTCCATCACCCCGCCCCATTCTCCCGCTTTCCATCACCCCGATCCATTCTCCCGCTTTCCATCACCCCGCCCCATTCTCCCGCTTTCCATCACCCGCCCCGTTCTCCCGCTTTCCATCACCCCGCCCCATTCTCCCTCCTTCCATCACCCCGCCCCATTCTCCCGCTTTCCATCACCCCGCCCCATTCTCCCGCTTTCCATCACCCCGCCCCATTCTCCCGCTTTCCATCACCCCGCCCCATTCTCCCGCTTTCCATCACCCCGCCGCATTCTCCCGCTTTCCATCACCCGCCGCATTCTCCCGCTTTCCATAACCCCGCCCCAATCTCCCTCCTTCCATCACCCTGCCCCACTCTCCCTCCTTCCATCACCCCGCCCCATTCTCCCGCTTTCCATCACCCCGCCCCATTCTCCCGCTTTCCTTCACCCCGCCCCGTTCTCCCTCCTTCCATCACCCCGCCACATTCTCCCGCTTTCCATCACCCCGCCCCATTCTCCCGCTTTCCATCACCCCGCCCCATTCTCCCGCTTTCCATCACCCCGCCCCATTCTCGCTCCTTCCATCAGCCCGCCCCATTCTCCCTCCTTCCATCACCCCGCCCCATTCTCCCGCTTTCCATCACCCCGCACCATTCTCCCGCTTTCCATCACCCCGCCCCATTCTCCCTCCTTCCATCACCCCGCCCCATTCTCCCGCTTTCCATCACCCCGCCCCATTCTCCCGCTTTCCATCACCCCGCCCCATTCTCCCGCTTTCCATCACCCCGCCGCATTCTCCCGCTTTCCATCACCCGCCGCATTCTCCCGCTTTCCATAACCCCGCCCCATTCTCCCTCCTTCCATCACCCCGCCCCATTCTCCCTCCTTCCATCACCCCGCCCTATTCTCCCACTTTCCATCACCCCGCCCCATTCTCCCGCTTTCCATAACCCCGCCCCATTCTCCCGCTTTCCATCACCCCGCCCCATTCTCCCGCTTTCCATCACCCCGCCCCATTCTCCCGCTTTCCATCACCCCGCCCCATTCTCCCGCATTCCATCACCACGCCCCATTCTCCCGCTTTCCATCATCCCGCCCCATTCTCCCGCTTTCCATCACCCCGCCCCATTCTCCCGCTTTCCATCACAGCGCCCCATTCTCCCGCTAACCATCACCCCACCCCGTTCTCCCTCCTTCCATCATCCTGCCCCATCCTCCCTCCTTCCATCACCCCGCCCCATTCTCCCGCTTTCCATCACCCCGCCACATTCTCCCGCTTTCCATCACCCCGCCCCATTCACCCGCTTTCCATCACCCCGCCCCATTCTCCCGCTTTCCATCACCTCGCCTCATTCTCCCGCTTTCCATCACCCCGCCCCCTCCCGCTTTCCATCACCCCGCCCCATTCTCCCGCTTTCCATCACCCCGCCCCATTCTCCCGCTTTCCATCACCCCGCCCAATTCTCCCCCTTTCCATCACCTCGCCCCAGTCTCCCGCTTTCCATCACCCCGCCCCATTCTCCCGCTTTCCATCACCCCGATCCATTCTCCCGCTTTCCATCACCCCGCCCCATTCTCCCGCTTTCCATCACCCGCCCCGTTCTCCCGCTTTCCATCACCCCGCCCCATTCTCCCTCCTTCCATCACCCCGCCCCATTCTCCCGCTTTCCATCACCCCGCCCCATTCTCCCGCTTTCCATCACCCCGCCCCATTCTCCCGCTTTCCATCACCCCGCCCCATTCTCCCGCTTTCCATCACCCCGCCCCATTCTCCCGCTTTCCATCACCCCGCCCCATTCTCCCGCTTTCCATCACCCCGCCGCATTCTCCCGCTTTCCATCACCCGCCGCATTCTCCCGCTTTCCATAACCCCGCCCCAATCTCCCTCCTTCCATCACCCCGCCCCACTCTCCCTCCTTCCATCACCCCGCCCCATTCTCCCGCTTTCCATCACCCCGCCCCATTCTCCCGCTTTCCTTCACCCCGCCCCATTCTCCCTCCTTCCATCACCCCGCCACATTCTCCCGCTTTCCATCACCCCGCCCCATTCTCTCGCTTTCCATCACCCCGCCCCATTCTCCCGCTTTCCATCACCCCGCCCCATTCTCGCTCCTTCCATCAGCCCGCCCCATTCTCCCTCCTTCCATCACCCCGCCCCATTCTCCCGCTTTCCATCACCCCGCACCATTCTCCCGCTTTCCATCACCCCGCCCCATTCTCCCTCCTTCCATCACCCCGCCCCATTCTCCCGCTTTCCATCACCCCGCCCCATTCTCCCGCTTTCCATCACCCCGCCCCATTCTCCCGCTTTCCATCACCCCGCCGCATTCTCCCGCTTTCCATCACCCGCCGCATTCTCCCGCTTTCCATAACCCCGCCCCATTCTCCCTCCTTCCATCACCCCGCCCCATTCTCCCTCCTTCCATCACCCCGCCCTATTCTCCCGCTTTCCATCACCCCGCCCCATTCTCCCGCTTTCCATAACCCCGCCCCATTCTCCCGCTTTCCATCACCCCGCCCCATTCTCCCGCTTTCCATCACCCCGCCCCATTCTCCCGCTTTCCATCACCCCGCCCCATTCTCCCGCATTCCATCACCACGCCCCATTCTCCCGCTTTCCATCATCCCGCCCCATTCTCCCGCTTTCCATCACCCCGCCCCATTCTCCCGCTTTCCATCACAGCGCCCCATTCTCCCGCTAACCATCACCCCACCCCGTTCTCCCTCCTTCCATCATCCCGCCCCATCCTCCCTCCTTCCATCACCCCGCCCCATTCTCCCGCTTTCCATCACCCGGCCACATTCTCCCGCTTTCCATCACCCCGCCCCATTCACCCGCTTTCCATCACCCCGCCCCATTCTCCCGCTTTCCATCACCTCGCCTCATTCTCCCGCTTTCCATCACCCCGCCCCCTCCCGCTTTCCATCACCCCGCCCCATTCTCCCGCTTTCCATCACCCCGCCCCATTCTCCCGCTTTCCATCACCCCGCCCAATTCTCCCCCTTTCCATCACCTCGCCCCAGTCTCCCGCTTTCCATCACCCCGCCCCATTCTCCCGCTTTCCATCACCCCGATCCATTCTCCCGCTTTCCATCACCCCGCCCCATTCTCCCGCTTTCCATCACCCGCCCCGTTCTCCCGCTTTCCATCACCCCGCCCCATTCTCCCTCCTTCCATCACCCCGCCCCATTCTCCCGCTTTCCATCACCCCGCCCCATTCTCCCGCTTTCCATCACCCCGCCCCATTCTCCCGCTTTCCATCACCCCGCCGCATTCTCCCGCTTTCCATCACCCGCCGCATTCTCCCGCTTTCCATAACCCCGCCCCAATCTCCCTCCTTCCATCACCCCGCCCCACTCTCCCTCCTTCCATCACCCCGCCACATTCTCCCGCTTTCCATCACCCCGCCCCATTCTCCCGCTTTCCATCACCCCGCCCCATTCTCCCGCTTTCCATCACCCCGCCCCATTCTCGCTCCTTCCATCAGCCCGCCCCATTCTCCCTCCTTCCATCACCCCGCCCCATTCTCCCGCTTTCCATCACCCCGCACCATTCTCCCGCTTTCCATCACCCCGCCCCATTCTCCCGCTTTTCATCACCCCGCCCCATTCTCCCACTTTCCATCACCCCGCCCCATTCTCCCGCTTTCCATCACCCTGCCCCATTCTCCCTCCTTCCATCAGCCCGCCCCATTCTCCCTCCTTCCATCACCCCGCCCCATTCTCCCGCTTTCCATCACCCCGCACCATTCTCCCGCTTTCCATCACCCCGCCCCATTCTCCCGCTTTCCATCACCCCGCCCCATTCTCCCGCTTTCCATCACCCCGCCCCATTCTCCCTCCTTCCATCACCCCGCCCCATTCTCCCGCTTTCCATCAACCCGCCCCATTCTCCCGCCTTCCATCACCCCACCCAATTCTCCCGCTTTCCATCACCCCGCCCCATTCTCCCGCTTTCCATAACCCCGCCCCATTCTCCCGCTTTCCATCACCCCGCCCCATTCTCCCGCTTTCCATCACCCCGCCCCATTCTCCCGCTTTCCATCACCCCGCCCCATTCTCCCGCATTCCATCACCCTGCCGCATTCTCCCGCTTTCCATCACCCCGCCGCATTCTCCCGCTTTCCATCACCCCGCCCCATTCTCCCGCTTTCCATCACACCGCCCCATTCTCTAGCTTTCCATCACCCCGCCCTTTTCTCCCTATTTCCATCACCCCGCCCCATTCTCCCGCATTCCATCACCCCGCCCCATTCTCCCGCTTTCCATCACCCCGCCCCATTCTCCCTCCTTCCATCACCCCGCCCCATTCTCCCTCCTTCCATCAACCCGCCCCATTCTCCCGCTTTCCATCACCCTGCCCCATTCTCCCTCCTTCCATCACCCCGCCCCATTCTCCCGCCTTCCATCACCCCACCCAATTCTCCAGCTTTCCATCACCCCACCCCATTCTCCCGCTTTCCATCACCCCGCCCCGTTCTCCCGCTTTCCATCACCCTGCCCCATTCTCCCGCTTTCCATCACCCCGCCCCATTCTCCCGCTTTCCATCACCCCGCCCCATTCTCCCTCCTTCCATCACCCCGCCCCATTCTCCCTCCTTCCATCAACCCGCCCCATTCTCCCGCTTTCCATCACCCCGCCCCATTCTCCCGCTTTCCATCACCCCGCCACATTCTCCCGCTTTTCATCACCTCGCCCCATTCTCCCGCTTTCCATCACCCCGCCCCATTCTCCCGCTTTCCATCACCCCGCCCCATTCTCCCGCTTTCCATCACCCCGCCCCATTCTCTTGCTTTCCATCACCCCGCCCCATTCTCCCGCTTTCTATCACCCCACCCCATTCTCCCGCTTTCCATCACCCCGCCCCATTCTCCCTCCTTCCATCACCCCGCCCCATTCTCCCGCTTTCCATCACCCCGCTCCATTCTCCCGCTTTCCATCACCCCGCCCCATTTTCCCTCCTTCCATCACCCCACCCCATTCTCCCTCCTTCCATCACCCCGCCCCATTCTCCCTCCTTCCATCACCCCGCCCCATTCTCCCTCCTTCCATCACCCCGCCCCATTCTCCCTCCTTCCATCACCCCGCCCCATTCTCCCTCCTTCCATCACCCCGCCCCATTCTCCCTCCTTCCATCACCCCGCCCCATTCTCCCGCTTTCCATCACCCCGCCCCATTCTCACGCTTTCCATCACCCCGCCCTTTTCTCCCGCTTTCCATCGCCCTGCCCCATTCTCCCGCCATCCAACGACCCGAATATTGTTGCATATTCGGGTGGCCCATGTTCAAATACACCTACCGGAGCAACTTCAGCTTGGTTCGCGCGCACAGAAAAGTTCGGCGCCCGCGACGTCGGCCGTGCCTGCACACAAATGCTAAGGAAGCGCACGGATCCCTATAGGCGTAGGGAAAAGCATCCAACGACCCGAATATTGTTGCATATTCGGGTGGCCCATGTTCAAATACACCTACCAGAGCAACTTCAGCTTGGTTCGCGCGCACAGAAAAGTTCGGCGCCCGCGACGTCGGCCGTGCCTGCACACAAATGCTAAGGAAGCGCACGGATCCCTATAGGCGTAGGGAAAAGCATCCAACGACCCGAATATTGTTGCATATTCGGGTGGCCCATGTTCAAATACACCTACCAGAGCAACTTCAGCTTGGTTCGTGCGCACAGAATAGTTCGGCGCCCGCGACGACGGCCGTGCCTGCCCACAAATGCTAAGGAAGCGCACGGATCCCTATAGGCGTAAGGAAAAGCATCCAGCGACACAAATATTGTTGCATATTGGGGTGGCCTATGTTCAAATACACCTATCAGAGCAACTTCAGCTTGG